TGCTTTTGAGGCAGGTGCAGCACCACTGAGCTAAATCCCTGGCCCAAAATGATCATTTTTAGTGGCTGTAATTTTCTAATTTTGTAAAGTTCTGTATACCACAATTTACATAATTTTAGCATTGTACTTTTGTTTGTTTCTAAGTTTTTCACCATTAGAGAAGTGAAATAAACATAACGATCTTAGCTAATTCTGCTACAGTTGCCAGGAATATCATCCAGATAGGCCCAGTTCTTCTTGTCGACAGTTGCGGAAGTTGAGCACTGGTCTTGGGTGATGGATCTGACCCTGTCTTACTGGGGTACTTCTGGGTGAACCCCTTTCTTTGGTGGCTTTCTCACTTTTTAATCAGCACATTAAAAAAAATGTAAATTTGTCTGTGTCAACACCTACTAACCAGGTGTTTTATTAGTAAATGTTTATATTCTTTTCAGTGTGTGTTGTGTGTGCTGCTGGGCCTCTGAGTATTTTTGCTGCATGCCCTGAATATCTTACCAGTGGACAGCAAGAATGACAAGGGTGTTTTGAGAGAGGAAAAGGGTGAAATTAGGAGATATTGGTGACAGTTTTTAATGCTGGTCGGCTTCAGCATGAACTCTGTCTCCATGCTTTGCTGTGTGGCAGTGTCAAGACACCCTGTATTCATGGCAATAAGAGTGCAAGTGGGGCCAGTTTGCACTTGGACCTTCTTCAGTACATGGCTGTCCCATGGGAGAGTTTTCTTAATTAGAAACCACAGGGAAATCATGTTTTTGAGCTGCAATATATGGTTGTGTTGGTCTTTTGTTGCTGAAATGTAAATATATATCCCTGTTTCAGTTAAATGTCTTTTCTGATCTATAAGTTTAAGTATAGTTATTCGTAAAATAAAATATTGATATTTAATAAATATGATGAGCACCATATACAGGTGGACACCCCTTTCCCCAAAGCCCCTAATTCTGTGAATGAGTTTGCAAACCCCAGATTGACCCCGATATTCAGATCTGTGGGCTGAAGCAACATGAAGGCTGGGTTCACAGGCTGCCCTCTTCGCATTAGACTGTCTGAACTCCATAGCTGTTCCTCTTTCGGGGTGGTAGCATCTGTGCCCTGGCTGAGCCCAAGGCCGCACCCACAAGAGAGCTGTCCAAGCCAAGGCTGTGGCAGAGGCCACGTTCCCAAGCGCCTGAAGAGTGGGCTTCCCTCCTGTGCTTGGTGTCTCCCCCAGGGACTCAGAGCCCATTGTGGCCCCAGGAACACTGACATGTGAATACTCAGCCCTGTCGCACAACAGTGAGTCTGGAACTGATGCTTCTTGCTGGCTGATGGCCGACTCACTGGTTTGACTTTGCTTTGCTCCCAGTTCTGTAGCGTCTCTGGACCATCTGGATTGGCTGCCACTCAACCCGACGCTCTCCCAGGTCTCCACAGTTCTGCTGAACTCGACCATTTCAGCGCTGACTTTTCTGCAGCAGCCTGGAGGAGCAGCCACTGGTACGTGGCCTGAGGGCACCGCTGGGTCACAGATGTCCCTGCCTCCAGCTGTGAAGGTCGGCAAGGAGCTGTGGGTCAGTGAAAATCCCAAGTGCAGGCTGGAGTCGCTCTTGTTACATTAGGAAAGGGTAGAGCAGAAGGAAAATTAGGAGCTCACAACTGAATCTGACTTCCAGCCACAGCTGAAATCCAGCAAGTGTCAGTAACAAAAATGATATTTTTAATTAAAAGGTTAGTTATTTGAAAATTCTTTGACTTGATGTCTTCAAAGCTTAGTTCAGTCTCTGGTTCTGCAATTTTACCTTCCCTCTCTCTAAGCTTCTATAGTGAGGAAATATTTGAAAAACAATAAAGGTAGTAAGAGAAGGAAACTTGAGGTGGATTTAGCCTGAATGGGGAGCCCTTTTGCAGGGGAGGGGATAAATTATCTAGTGTGTGTGTGCCTCCCTCTCTCCCTGCCTGCCCGCCTGCCTTCTTACCTTCCTGCCTTCTTCCATCACTCCCTTCTTCCCACCCTCTCCCTTCCCTTCCCCCTCCTCTTCTTTTTGCGGTGCCTGGGATGGGATCTGGCTATTATGCATGCTATGCAAACTCTCTACCACTAAGCAGTACTACTAATTCTTTTCTTGACCTGGAATATTATTTCTTAAATTGTCACCTGGGCCTGGTTATTTTACTTTAAGTTCCTTCTTTCTCTCTCTGTTTTAAAAATCTTTATCTATTTTCCTAAGGGCAACACAACAAGAGAAAAATGAAGGACAGTTTTCTGCCATTCCATCTATCTGTTCAGCTGTTTGTCCACCTGGCTCATACATCTATTTACCTACCCATCCATTGATTCATTCACCCTCCACCCATCTGTCCACTTGTTCATTAATCTACCAACACATCCACCCATCCACCCACCCACCCATCCACCCATCCATGAGCCCATTTGTTTGCTCATCTTCTCCTTCAGTAGATATACACTGACACTTTCTATGACCAAACTCTGCCGCAGGCAGTGGGAATTCTCTGCTGAATAAGAAACAGCTCCTGCTTGTTAGGGAAGTGTTTTGTAAAGGTATGTGGCCCTGGGTGGGGTGGGGATCTGACAGCTTCCAGGAAAGGCTTCTGGGAGGAGCTTTGAAGGATGAGTCTGGCTCCTCAAAGAGACTGGGAACATTTCTAGGAAAAGGGAAGGGAGTGCAGTGGGGGTCCTGCTGGAGGCCACGTGTGGGCTGGGTGTTATTTCTGAGGTGTGGTGGGCAGTGACAGGAGGTGACCCTGAACAGGTGCTCAGGCCAGGTCACAAGTGGCGAGCAGAACAGTGGAAGACGTGCTCCTGGGCAGGTGAGGCGTGGACTGGAGGTGGCAGTCTGGGCACTCAGGTGCCTGGGGTTGGGTCCTCCACAGGCTGCTGGTCCCCAAGGCGCAGTAGCCCGAGTCTCGAGTCCTTCTGAGCATGGTACAACTGAACAGGACATCATCTGTCACCCTGAGCTCCCTGCTGTCTCTGAGTGCTTGTGGGAGGGCAGCCAGGCCAGTCCCCTTCAGCCCAGCTTTCACCTTGACTGAGTTCCGGCAGGAATGAGTGCTTCTCATCCCCAGGACAGAACTCAGAGGGGCAGACAGATGAAGCTGCTCAGTGACTTCAACTTTAGTGAGCTCAGTTGGAAGCTCAGGGCTTTGCACACCGCCCAAGTTATAACAGTCAGTTTGCCTCGCAAGTGGCAATGCAATTGCTGCAAAGAATGTAGTTAACATAAGCGGCCTTCTCTCTACCTGCCAGCGAGTCAGAGCTAAGGATACTATGCAGACAGACTTCTAGAGACCACTGCACATTGTCCTCACTCCTCTGGTCTCCAAGAAAAGTTCTTTTGTTCCACGCAGTTATTTCAGTGTGCACAAGGGAGAGTGGAGTCAAGGCCGTTGGTCCAACCATGTTGTCCACTGAGATTGTTTATTTATATATTCTACATATTCTGTTGCTTAGGCAGGAATTTCAGAATCAAGTGTGACTTTCACTTTTTAAAGAATGATTTTTTAAATTTAAATTTAAATTTTTATTTTTTTGGTACTGGGGATTGAACTGAGGGCCTTGTGCTTGCCAGGCAGGTGCTGTGCCACTGAGCTACATCTCCGGCCCTTAAGAATGACTTTATATTTTTAAAGCTACTAATAGACTGATGTCATTAGTTTTTTCCTCTTTTCTGGAACTCCATGAATAACTGTAAACATCCTGAGAGCAGGAGAGACTAATAGCTACAACTCAGCTCAGGAGCCAGGTCACCTAGGTGGGAACCCCGGCCTAATCTATGAGTGTGACTTTAAGTAGCTTTGTCTGCTTTCTCCTCTCTCAAGAGGGGACAATTATGGCATCTCCCTGGTGCGGCTGCAGGGGACAACTCAGACCACGCATGGAGATACTTAGCCTAGCACCTGGCATTCTTCAGCATCCAAGGCACACTAGTTTTAATTGAAGAAACCAAACCCCCAGCCCCCACGATGTCCTACAGAGATAATCAGACTGGAATCAGGGGTCTTGTATTCTAGGGACTCACCTTGTCTTGGTCCCAGTGCTGGGATCAAATACTTGACACCCAAACCTTAAAGGAGGAGTGGTTTTGGAGTGTTCAGTCCATGGTTGGCTGGCTCTGAGGCAGCCACATCCAGAAGGATGTGGTGGAGAGAAGCTGTTCAACCCATGGCATCTGGAAAGCAGAGAGTAGGGAGGATCAGAGAGGAAGGGGCCAGGGACAGAGTCCCCAGGGTCACACCCCTGTGACCCCCTTCCTCCCATGCAGCCCCACCCCTAAAGGCCCAGTCAACTGTTACCTGAGCAGTCTAACCTGTGAGGAGGTTTGCAGCGGATCCAGTCTCCTCCAGGGGCCTCTTCAGCCTGTCAGCTTGACAGTCAGGACTAACCAGCACTCAACTTTAATACCTTCTTGAATTCGCCTTCAGCTTGATACATACTTTTTTTTTTTTTTCAAAAGTCATGATTGTGCATCCATTGTGTGGGTCATATGAGGTCACACATGTGGACGTGGTTTTGCAGTGGCTGGTGTGCGTGGTGTCCAGCGGGTGGGCATACAGTCCCGATCCGAGACGGGCTGGTTGCTGGGTTTCTGGGTGAAGGCTCACACTGGAATGTGTGTGCAGTTGTGTCTGGGTTGCTGGGCTGCGCTCCTTGGAGATTTCCTCAAGCCCTGGGAGGAGTTTTGATTTACACTTTGGGTGTGTCTCTTCAAAGGGACACTGGAGAGTTTGAGTAACTTTTCTGTTTTATGCCTTGATTACTGTAGTGGAACTTTAACCTATGACGTTAAATAACTCTTAGAAATACAATTTAAAGCTCCTGCAGCCTTTTATGTTATGAATACACTGTGATTTATCCTTTCCCCCATGCTACATGCAGAGCTAGTTTTAAATATTTAATCCATGTAAAGCCAATACAATGACCTTTGTCATACATTAATTTTTGTTCAGTTATCTGCTTAGTTTCTTGAGATAGATTTTTAGAAGTGAAATTATTGGGTCCAGTGTTTTGAATTTTGTAAATATGTTTTCAAATGACTCTCAAGAAATGTTGTAATCCTTTATAGCGGGGGCATGTGACATCTCACTGCACTCTGGATAGCATCCAGCACAGGAGCCCTGAAATCTCCAGTGTCACTTTTTTGCAGATTCAGGGACCACAGTCAACTGCAGTCCAAAGCAAATTCCATAGGAAATTCTAGAAGTAAACAGTCACTCAACTTTCCATTGCATGGGTCCCTGGGCGCTGCAAGCTCTCATGCCGTCTACTGTATTTTGCCTGGACATAACCATCAGTGTGTCCAGTGTTACATGCTTTCAACACGCAGTGCCCATTAGTCACTTAGTCATCATCTTGGTTAGCAGACCCTTTGTTACATAATCCCAGTGCTGCATTGAAATAGTACTCATGTTACTTAATAATGGCCCCCAATCACAAAGACTAGTGAAGCTGACCATCTTCTTGCAATATATTTTCATTATTATTTATTATGAGTTGTTTGTAATTGCTTACTGTGCTTAATTTAATTTAAATTAATTGCAGGTGTGTGTATGTTGCAACATCGTACCCACAGGGTTTGGCACTATCTGTGGTTTCCGGTGTCCACTGGGGCCTGGGAATGTATTTCTGCAGACAAGGGGAGACAACTATATTAGCTTTGTTCCTCATTCCTATTTGATGCCCAAAGGGTATTTTGTCTTCATTTGCTTTTCCTTTAGAGGTGAAGATGACATTATTTTCTGAATCACTTTAAACACATCAGAATATCACAAGCACTCACAGGAAACTCGTTTTGCTGTTGCAGAGTCCGTCTACCACCTTTCCCTGCAGAACATGGTCTGGGACCCACAGAAAGTACAGCGTGACCTCCAATCCCAGTTTGGCTTTAATGGTCTTCAAACAGAGCGACTCCTGAATTACTCAGTGGAGCTGCAGGAGGTATGCGTGCCTGGTTCCTTCCCACACCCTTGAGTCTCCTGCAGAGTTGCTCTTGGTACCACCAGCCCTTGGCTTCCACGCTCACGGAGGCAACCAGCTGCAGATGGAAAACATAAGAAGAAGTGAACCATGTCTGTCATGGACAGACCTTTTCCTTGTCGTTTGCCCCAACATGATGCAGTGGTGCCTCTGTTCACGAACTTAATTGGTTCTATGATTGTGGAAAGAGTTGTTTGGGAACCTGCGTACCACTATTTGGCAGCTATTTCCGTGGCATTTAGATGTAAGAAGATGTCTGAGATCCCAGAAAATACTACAGCATTTTGTGAGGAGACCTGAGCATTTGCAGATCTTGAGATCTTTGGAAGATCCTGGGACCAATGCTTGGTGGAAGTGGAGGGACACCGGATGCTTAGGACAGCTGCACGGGGTCAATGGGAGTTGGTAGCCAGACAGGAACATCCTCCTACCACAGGAGGCGCTCCTGAGATAGCGGTCCTGGCTGCTCCTGTCTTCCGCCCTTGTCACTCTGCCCAGGTGCTCAGAGAGGTGAAATGTGATTCTCCACTGCTGGGAGGAGCCGGCTCAGGTCGGGGCTGGATAGAGACAGTGAGCATCAGGGAGGCGGTAGTGCCCCAGCAGGAGTGTGCGGGGCAGGGGCAGTGGGTTTCTGGGCAGAGAGGCAGCTGTCACAAGGGAAGGGCAGGGACAGGTCAGGACGGCTAGCTGGGTTTCCAAAGTGGAGCCTCACTGCCCCAAACCGGGTAGAAGAAAGGGGTTGGACCTGGTGACACTGCAGTTGCTCATGTTCAGAGGCTCCTGTCACCTGCGGACCTTTGTGCTGCGGCCTGGCCCATCTGTAGGCGCTAAAACCACACACCTGCTGCTCTGGTGCGGCAGTGACACGCCCTCCAAGCCCCACCCCAGGCTCAGGGCTGTGCTGGTGTAGCAGTCAGTGTTCGGAGGAGCCCTGTACCTCCCCTGGGGTCGGCATAGCTGGGATGTGGATTTTGCTTGCTTCTCTGTGTGTGTCCATGACCTTGTGAGTAGACTTTCCTGACAGCACTTGCCATGTTCATGAGTGGGAAAGCCAGTCCTGAAGGTTTACATTGTAGCATTTGGAGGTGAACCTTTGGGAGGTCACTAGGATTGTATGTGGTCAGGAGAGTGCCCCCTGACCCTGTTAGCATTGGTGGGTTTATAAGAAGAGGAAGAGAGACTTGGGCTGACACCCTAGCCCCATCTTGCTCTGTGATGCCCTCTGCCGTGTTATGATGCAGCAGGAGATCTCACCAGATACAGAGCAGAGGCCAGCGCTGTGCCCTTGGACATTGTTGAAAGCCATTTCTGCCCTGCAGGTTTAGGCTTCTTGCCTCTCCCTTGATGAAATCTACTTCCTACAGGGCCTGAAGTTGTGACTCTGGGCATTTCTCATGGCTGTTGTAGGGGAGATGCAATGGTCCGGTTGGTTGAATTTCACTCCAGTTCTCTCCAGGTTAATGAGCCAATTTTCTGGTTATGTTAGAATACAGTCAAGTGAAACTACGTAAGCCCTTTGCCTTGGAATGGCAAACACTTTGAGACTGGAGGTCAGAGGAAAGCAGTGAGAGTACTGCTGTGTGCCCACCAAGCTCATGGATATTGTGTGCTGTGTGTGTGAGTCTCTTGTTGCCACTGAAACAAGTCACCACCAAGTCATGGCTGAAGACAACCCAGACAGAGTGTCATACAGTTCTGGAGGCCAGAAGTCCAACACTGGTCTCCCTGAGCTAAATGCAGGGTGTCTAGAGGGCTGCATACCTTCTGTAGGGGAGAACACTTCTTTGCCCTCCGTGGCTGGGCCCACAAATTAAACTGAGAAAGGATAGATAATCAAGAGAAGCCCAGACTGAATTACTGGGCATGCTTGGGAGCTCACAGAGAAATGTGCAGCTCTAGGAGGCAGCTGGATGATTGGGATTTGTACCGTCTGAGGCTAAACAAAAGCAAAGGAGCTTTGGCCTTGGATGAGGGGGCAGGTGAGGGCCCGGCGAGAGGAGTTAAGGCTGTCTCCGTGTCAGGAGAACAGCCTCTCGTGTGACCAGCATGCTCTGGAGGGCTGTTTCTCTCCTATACTTGAGTCATGTGTGCAAATGGAAACTTCTTTTGGGAAAGCAAAGTTCCGTTACACAGGCAGCATTTGTGCTCTCGTTTCAGGCAGTAGGGGAGGGGGTGAGGCGCTTTCCCTGAGTCTACTGACTCTTACTCTTCTTTTTTAGCTCACAATCACCCCTATGCCAAAAAGGTATATTTTGGGGGTGTCACAGTCTTGCTCTTTTCACTGTTTCTTCATTCCCAGGTTCTAGCGGCCCCAGGTTACTTGCTCGTGGTGTCTTCTCCATCAGGAAAGCCAGCCGTGGTGGTCCATCCTTTGCATATCTCACTCTTGGACACTGTTTTGTGTCCTGTCCCCACAAGTGAGGGCCCAGCTGAGGCACAGGGTCCACCTGATAGTCCAGGATAACCCCGTGTTCAGTCAGCTGACCAGCACCTTCGTTCCCTCTGCACCCTCAGATCTCACTGGCTGTGCAGTGTGACAGTCCCAGGAGCTGGGGGCCAGGACATGGGAGTCTTTGGGAGAGCATCACCCGGCCCCCACCTCACATGTCCCTTTGTCTCCTGGCTCGTGCCTCAGTTCCCAGAACTCCCCACATCCTGCCTGGTGCCTGCCTCTCCACTGCCTAGGCCTCCCCAGGGGCCTCAGCAAGGCATCCCCTGGGCTATGGCAGGATCCTCCTCACTCCCCTTCTCAACCCACCCTTAGAAAATGGTTCGTCCAACCCCATGTCGTCCGCCAAGTCCCCATGATCCCTTCAGCCTCTGCCCCCATTGTGTTCTGACCTTCAGTGATGGGGAGCCTGATGCTTGCACTCCCCGATCTCCAGACACGTGTGGGAGGGGTGGGACCTTCCTTTCTAACAGAGAGAGACCCTGTGGCTGTGACTCTCACAGGTGCGCATTTTTCATCTGGATCCTGAAGGAACCTGCAGAACTGATGAGCAGGCAGAACGGTGATGCTTTTCGGTCATTCTGTTGCCTTGGTTGCCCTGAGGAACATGTCATGAGTTACCACAGCCTGGGTGGCTTATGCAGGAGGGATTTATTCCTCACGGTTCTGGAGGGTGCAAGCCCAAGGTCTGGTGGCAGATGATGTTCTGGTTCCCAGACAGGCTCCTCCCTGTGTCCTCACACCTACAGCAGTGAGCGAGCTCCTGTGCCTTCTTCCACGGGGGCTGCATCCTGCTGTGTGAGCTCAGCTCTTGGGAGCAGTTTCCAGCCCTGCAGACTATCAGTTTGAGGGTTGGGGTTTCAGCATATGAACTCTGGGGGTTCATGAGGGCTCACTGCAGCAGCTACCTGTAGCGCCTCTGAAAGGAATGGTAATGAGACTGCGTGTGGGGTGTAGGCTAACACCTCTTTATAAATAGGTCAACATGCCTATTTATAGAGCAGTTTTAGAGAGCATGTGAAAAATAACAGAGATTCGATGCAAAACGTTAAACAGTTTCTGAACCAGGACCCCAGTGTGAATCCTTCTGATTTTATGCATTTTGATAATTAGAAAAGAAAATGTTCTCAGCAAAGCAAGTTTGTGAGTCCAAGGACCCGCATAGCGGGGCTGGTCGGTGTGTTTGCTTCTGGGGGAAAACAAAGATGAACAGGTCTCCGTCCCATTGCTTTGGCAAATCCTGAAAAAAAGATCAGTTTTCCTCCTTAACTACACAGATTAGTTTTAGAAGAGAAACATCCTAAGGAAAAAGGCTTTACTTTTGAAAAAACAGTTTGTTTTTGATATCGTGGCCAGTTTCCCATGGAGAGTGACTTGGAGAGGATGGTGTGTTCTGTCTTGTCCCGCACTTCCAAGGACGATGCTGAGCGAGAAGGCCGCCGCGGAGCCTGCCAGCCCGAGTGTGCAGAAGCCAGACACTACCTCGTGCACGCGGTCAGCTGGCTGCGGCTCTGTGGACAGGTGCTGCCCGAGCCTAGGCTCTGCCTGGGGCCAGCAGTGTGCAGGGCGACTCTATCCCTTTGCCCCTCTGGTCCACTGTGTCCTTCCCAGGGGAGAGGGGCCCCGTGCCCCCGATGTTATGCACACTTCTCCCACAGGGATCCCCAGCCTCTGCATAGGTCACCCAACGTCCTTCGTAGGTCGACATACCAGAAAGTCCAGGCAGAAATGCAGATGGTGACTTAGAGGTCTGTTTTCAAAGAAGCCGCTGTGGGCCCAGGGCTCCCAGTTCATGGCCGACGGCCCCAAAGCCTCAGGTCCTGGCCAGCTCTCAGCGCTGCTCTGGAGGAGGTTTTAAAGACTGAGGCAGAGCCCCCCACGGTAGTCACTCCATTCTCTTTATCAAATGATATGTTCCCACTTCCTGTTTTCTCTCAAAGATCACACCCCTGTGAAACTTTCATCCCCCTAATATGTGTGACTGATAAAGGTCAGAATCTCAAATCATGGGTACAGTATCCTTAAAAAAATACAGGTGCGATTGTCTGCTGGCCGGCCCTAAAGTGACCTGGCATGAAAGTGATCAGGGGGTGGTTTTGAGATGACCAGAGTCAGAGCAGACGGGGGCACTGCGCTTTGTGCCTTATCCGGGCCACTCCCACAATGTGGTTCGTCAACTGCGAGCAGATTGCACTGTGCAGCACGAGTGTCTCGTGCAGCCTGACATGGGCATCGACATGCGACTTTGCAGTGATGTGGGTGATGAATCGGACGCTAACTGTCTTGCACATCATCATTTCCAACCCGTGTCACAAAGTGGGACTCGGTGAATGATGCCATTCATGCTAAAGCATGGGATTGGATTTAAGTCACGGCAAACACGTTAATTTAGTTTTCAGATTACAGTTCATCTGTTTAGAAATTTATGCTATTGCTTTCTTCTCTCTTTCTTTCTCCCCCTTCTCTTTGAAGGAAGGAAAGAAAGAAGGAGGAGGCTGATTACAAAGCTTTGTCTATCCATTGTTGCAATTTGTAATCTTTAATTTCCTAGGAGAAATTAAATCCTAATGCAGTTGTTGACAGACATTTCAGTTTGCCGACAGAATTTAAACACTGGCTGAATGGCTCTCATGTAGAATGGTCAGTTAATTATTTATTAACTACTTGCACTGTTCCTAAAGTTACAAGAATGATAATCTTTTTCTTTCCAAATTTGCAGGTGTTCGGCCAGTGGCAGCAGGGTGGGCTGCTTCAGAAGGTGCTCACAGGCACGGCCCGCAGCGTCCAGGCCCTCCAGGACAGGTTTGAACAGGGGGGCATGCCGTGGAAGGTGGCAGAAGCCTTGCGCGTTGGACTGCTGCTCCTGAGTGACGCTTTGGCAGTGGATGGCCCCAGAGACAGCCACAGCTCTTCGCAGATGTAAGTCTGTTTCTCTCCTCTCTTCACCAGCCTAGACAACACCGTGTCTCCAGGAGTGCAGGATAGCACTGTCAGAACAAATTCTTTAAACCACTGCTAGACAGTGGGTTCCTGGTTAGCAGTGGGAAGCCCCTGTGGGTCAGTGCCAGGAATGACCTCAGCAGTGAGCTGGACACTGGCCCAGAGGTCTGAGACAGTGGGACGGGAGAATGATGTTTGAGAAAGTGTCCTTTGCCTGGATTTTCAGTCGTACACTTTTGGCATCTGTTTTAGAAATGGACACATACATTTCAGAAGTACCGATGAGTAAGGAGCTCTGCTTGCTTTCGTATTTAAACATTGTCTATAGCTGAAGTGTATCCACAGGTCCAGAAATATTTCAGAAGTGGGAAATGCAGGACTCGTGGTTTCTTCATTTTTAAGATAACCAGAATTAGTTCAGCAAAGTGGCCAATTCTGTTATAGGACTGGATCTTTGTCCTCAATAGGTTCAACACTTTGCAGTGACTTGAATTTTGTACTCCAAAAGTGAAGGCTGTCCTTGGAACACAGTGGACCCCCAGAGTTCACAGGGGTTATGCCCCTAGAGCACCTGCAAATTGTGAAAAACTGCAAATTTCAGATATGGTCAGGAAAATGGCTATCAATGAGTATTTTTATACTTTAAACCCTATGTTATGTCTCCCGCAGTTATGTAATTTAATAAAATACCATGTTAATAAAGCCTTAGAAGGTGCAGGGTATTTTGGCAGCATCTTAGAGATCTTAGGGCTTTAAGGAGAACAAACAGACACTGGCGAGAGAGCTGCAGGCCTCATAGCAGCTTGTTATGATGCGGGATGCTGGTGCCGGTGGGAGATGGGTTACAGGACAGCGGCCAGTCAGCAGCAAGGAGACCTGAATCACGCTCTCGGATTGACTACTTGCAAACCTCCACCCCCCACCCCCCCAAAAAACAATTGCAAAGGATATTTGGGGTTTCTGTGAAATTGTGGGGGTTTCTGCAAACAATTATTAGTTAGGTTCTAAAAAAAAATCTGCAAATGACTGAGGCCATGAACTCTGAACCTTGAGTTTGCAGGGGTTTACTGTAGAATGATAAGGTTTCTCAGTATTACCTCAGAAGGTCTGATTTCAAACCGTGGAGTACACAAGCTCTGGCTCTCTGTGTACCATGGAAATGGAATGAGGGTGACTGAATGTGTGTCACTGTGCATAAAGACTACAAGGAAGCAGCAACATTTCCAACTCTGTGATGTTTTTGGAACCCAGCTAGGAAAGAGGATCTTGCTCTGGGAGTCCTCCTTCCTAACTCTCACCTTAGCCCTGAGGCACGGGAGAGGAGAGGCAGCAGTAAAGGGCCCATCGGGGCCATAAAAGCTACCGGCAAACGGATGTCAAGGGCAGCAGGGTCGCCTCCGAACCATGAGCTGGAGGAAGCAGAGACAAAGCACGGTGTTGTCAGTTGACTCCAGAGGCAGGAAACTGCCCTGGGTACTGAAGTGTTCCTGCTGGCTGGCGTGGGAAACATACTGAGTCTTACGCAGTGCACGTTATTGGAGACCCCACCTTCAGTCACCTTAGTCACCCCGCAAACCTTCAGCCCAGGAACTGCCACTCTCCAGCACTGATAATTAGGAGAACGGAACACCTACAAGCTCTCTGTGCCTCTTGGCTCAACCAGGGACAGAGAAGCTAAAGATGGCATTGCACTTTGGATCCAAGGACAGCTGAGGCTTCCCTGACTCCATGCGTGATGTCTGTACCCCAGGGGGGGAAAGACGAGGGCCAGCGCTGGCTTTGCTCGGCCTCCTGCTATGTGCATTGGACAGGCAGCCGGCCCTGGAAGTGGAGTCTTCATTTCTATTTGATACATTTGTTATAGGGAGTGTAAACTGCCACCCACGGGCTGTTTTGGTGCCACATAAGACCTTCTGTCTCCTTCCTGGACCTCAGGCTCCTCCTCTGGTGATGGCATCTCTAGACCCTCTCTAAGCTTTTTTTAGCTATGGGCCACTGGTCTGCCCACTGGTCCTGTGGCTTCCCTTCAGAGGAGGAGTTGTCTGCTGGCACTGTTGGACTGGTGTGAGGATCGCAGAGAGACCCTGTGCGAGGGGTCTGCGCCAGCCCCTTCTCAACTCAGTCCTGACCTCCGCAGATCTCTGCCTCCACCCCCTCCCCCGTTGCTGTTGTAGTTTGGGTCTGAAAAGTCCCTGGAAACCTCACGTGTTCCCAGGTGGGGCTCTTGGAAGGTGACTGGGATGCTGTGCTCATCGGTTAATTATCACTGATGACTCCATAGCTGAATGCTGTTCAGAGGCGGGGCCTGGTCTGAACAGGCAGCTCACTGGGGGCGTGGCCTGGGCTGGTCATCGCCCTCCCTGGCTCCCTCTTCTCTCTCTGCTTCCTGGCCGCCATGCTCCGAGCAGCTCTCCTCTGCCAGGCCCTCCCACCCCATTGCCTTTGGAGCAGCTGACCAGGGACTGTAACCATGAGCCAAAAACCCTCTCTTCCTTTGAGCATCTGGTGTTATATCGCAAAAACAAGGAACATGAGAGACAATCTTTCCATTTTCATGGATGCCCTGAGTTTCTTAGAGGGTTGTCAGATGCCCCCTCACACATACCCTCCAGACCCTGCAATCCCTTTCGTTAACTCTTATTTTTGGAGCCAGTTTTTTCTTTTACTTTGGTTGGAGCCTTGAGTCCCGTCGAGGTGGTAATGTGTGTGGTGAAACCCCTGCGCTTCTCTCTGCCCTGTGCACGTCCTTACCTCCTGGCCTTGCTAGGGCCCACCCCCTCTTCCTGTTCTGTCTCCTGAGCCCTGCAGGCGCTTTCTCACCCACCTTAGTATTTCTGTGGCTGTTTTTGTTGGACCTGCTGATGTCTCTATGACCACTTTGCCAGCTCTGCACAGGAGCTGCCCTAGTGTGAGGCTCTGTCCTGGGGCCAGCAGTGTGTGGTGTGAATCCGTCCCCTTTGCCCAGTCTGCTGCAGATCTTTTTTTAAAAAATTAATTAATTAATTTTCTTGGTACATTTTAGATATACATAATGATCACATTTATCATAGGGGATTTGTACCTGTGCATAATATATTTTTTTTCCCACCATTAAGTTTACTGGTACATTTTAGGTATAAAATACATTTACATACATCACTGGGATCTTGTACCATTACTTGAATATCTTGGTTCTTATTTTTTTTCCCCTTCCCCTGCCCTCCCTTCACCCCCTCCACCTTTCCCTATTTGCAAAGATTTTGTTTCCATTTTTTTTCCTTTTCTTGTATTTTCTCTTTTTTCTTCTTTCCTTTCCCCTAGCCCTCCCACTTCCCCTGCTCCTTTAGACCTTTACTTCGTATTACACAGTATCAATTACACATTTTTAAAATTAAAACATCAAGACCTAGGAGACATTACCACAGATTTTTCAGAATTTAAAAGGATATAGAAAGCATATTACAAAAATCTGTTTGAAAATAAATTTGACAACTTCTAAGAAGTACCTTGGAAGACAAATTAATGAAACTAACTCTGAAGGAAATATAAAATTTGAATAGCACCTGTTAAAGAAAGTATATTCCTAGCTTGAAA